CCCAGCCTTTTCCTTCCTCCAAAACAGCTTCCCACAGATGCATTTTTTCCCAGCCCACCCTCTCTGCGGGCCACCAACGGGTCCTACTGCAGGAACCCCTAGGCAGTCACCTCAGCAGTCCCTGCCTGCCATCTTGTCACTTAGGCCCCTCTGGGTCCGCACAGTGGGGGAGGGGTGGAGCATGATGGAGAGGGCGCCTGTGTCTTTTTTTGGGGAAAAAAAAATGAGGGAAGGATGTTGAGCTTCCCTTATCGACCCCAAGGTTCCCAACCCCTCCATTTCAGGATGTGCTCTCTGTTGTCTGATCTCACTCCCTCCTGCTGCAGCCCGTTTCCTCCTCTTCCTATAGAAGGAGGGAGAAGAAGTCTCTTCCCAGGGAGGCCCTGAGACCCGGGGAGTGCTGCAGCTGGTCTCTTCTAGCTGAAGAGAGATAGTCTGTTCCCCAGAGAAGGGCAGCTGGTCAGAGTGAGAGGGATAGAGGAAGATTAGCACCAGCAAGAGGAGGGGCAGCATGGGTGGTCTGTAAAGAGCAAGGGTCAAACGCCAGCTCTCCTTGGTGACTGTGTGGCCTTGGGCAAGTGGCTGAGTCTCTGGGACCCTCGGTTTCCTCATCTGTAAAATGGGATACTGCTGACCTCCCAGGGAGACTAGGAGAATTGCTGGTCAGGGGAGCAAGGGCGGACGCGGTGTCCAGGGCTTCTTCAGCACTGGATGAGGGGGTGTTATCTTGCTTTAACTTTGTCTCATCTCTAGACCTGGCCAGGACTAGGGGGAGGGAGGGGAGGAGGCGCCTCAGGTGCACCATCTGAGGAGGCATCGCTCCCAGGATTGGGGGACGTGCTTGCAAGACCTGAAAGGGATGCCTCCTTAAGTGTCGTGCCTAAGTCGTCGTCACCCGAGGCCCACCTTGCTCAGTCTCCCTGTTTGGAGACCCTAGAGTGGTGGTCCACGGAGGGGAGGGACTGGCTTCTAGCACCAGTTCCATACCTGCCACCTGTCCCCAAGGTGGATTCTGAGTCGGCCGGCTGGAGTCAGGGGCTTCTGGGGCACAGGCGGAGGTGCTTTTGGACGGTCCTGTGGGGCTGGGAGTCACTTGGGGAAGACTGGGGTCCTTAAGTTGCAGGTTTGGTCCCAAGAGTGGGTGGGGTGTGGTCAGAGGGAGGGCGCTGTCCCTCCCTGGGCTCCGTCTGCGTCTGCCCTCTACAGCCGAGCTCGCGGGGCCCAGTCTGTGGGTTGACTGGGGACTCGGGGTCAGCGGCAGTGCCATGAGCTTGGCAGGGTGCTCTGCCAACCTGGGAGTCAGCCCCGGCTCTGCCATGCACCTCACCACATGACATCTGTGGGTCGTCCCTCTCGGCATCTCAGTGTCCCAGTTGTGGAGCGGAGGAGCGAGGGGATGAGGTCTCAAGACCCTCTGATGTGTGTGAGAAATGTCCTGTATGTGCGTGAGTGTGCGACAGGTGTAGAAACTAAGCAAGGGTGGAGGTCAAAGGTCATGGGCAGCCAAAAACTACCCAAAGATGGAAATTGAGGATCCCTAGGGTGCCAGTTGTGTGGCCAGTGAAGGGTCAGCATAGTGGTGAGGGCTCTCTGTGTGCCAGGCACTGTTCTAGGCTCTGGGAGCAGCAGGGAAGTGGCTGATATTTTAGTGAGAGGGTGACAGGCAGGTCTCGGTGGCTCTCTGCAGCCATCTGAACTCTGGGGCTGTTGCTCAGCTCAGGCGACCACGGCTCTGGGTGGTGGCTGAAAGCTACCCAGTGGCCCCTGTCTCCCTGCAGGGCCCAGGATGTGGTCTAGAGGGAGACGGTGCCCTGGGACTGGCAGGGTGGGAACAGAGGGACAGACTTCAACCCCGGGAGCTTGTGCCAGGGGCTGGGTATGCTCTCGCTGTGGAACAGCTCTGGTGTTTCGGTCGGGAGGGGCTCTTGGAAATTTTTAGCTTCTCAGAAAGCATGCCTCCGAAAGATGTGGAAGGCATCTGATCTCTGGCAAGTGTCACCCTGTGGCCGGCCTCCAGCTGGCCAGGGGAAGGGTGGGGACAAAGGGGCTGGTGCTCGGATGATCGCCGGCAGGAAGAGAAAGCTGCTCTTTCTTTGCTGAGGCCTGCGGTTTCTCGTATTGACTCTGTCCCCCTCCCGTCTGCCCCCTGCCACACTCGGGAGCGCTGGCAGGAGGGTCCGGATGGCTTTGGGGTCTGTGGGGTGGCCCCAAGGGTGAGAGGATAAACAGTAGCCGTGGCCAACATGCACTGAGAGTCCCTTGCCCCAGGCTCTATGAGCCTAACCATTTGGTCACCACAGAAGAACCCTAGACAGCCAGTAGGGGCAGAGTGACCCTCTCAGGGTACCCAGTTAGTTAGCAGCAGGGGACCTGGGTGTGGCCCAGGTGGGCTGCAGGCTGCTGGGGTTTCTCAGAGTCACCCAGGAACCTGGTGCAAATGGTCATTCCCGGTCCCTCCATGGATGTGACTGACTGGGATCCTTTGGGGGAGCCAGACCTCGTGGGTCAGCAGCCCCCTGGGCAGGCTTAAGTTTGAGACTCGGGCTCACACCCTGCTGAGATCTGGGCCTCTTAGGACTTCTTACTCAGGGGAGGGAGTGGAGGGGCTCTTCCGGGACCGGAGGGGCCTAGGGCAGGCACTTGGGTTACTTCCGCAGCCCACCTGCGTCCTTTCTACAGAGGCAGGGTAGCCGAGCGGTCAGCAAGGGCTGTGGAGCTGGGAGCTCGGGCCTTGCGTCTCATCCGGTCCTGTGTTGGCTCTGCCCCTGGAACATTCTGGGGTCTGCCTTCCAAGAGCCTCCCCGCTCCAGGGGACCAGAGCTGCTCAGAGAGGAAGCAGTCTGGCCATCCTGGTGGGCGTGAGGCCTCCACATGAGCATGACCGAGCCCTGGAGAGCAGAGAGGGCCAGGCGGGCTGAGGACTCCCCCAGGGCAGGCTGACCCCTCGTGGAGGGGTGGGTGGGATGGGTTTCCGCAGGAGGCACAATCTGCCCAGACCTAGCAGGTGGCTCCGAGAGTTCAGGCTGCTGCCCAGCCTGGGCAGGGAGCCCTGGGGATTTGCGGGTGGCCTCATATATGGCCTGCCCAGGGCTCCGTGGCTCAGGAGTGGGGATTTGGGGAGGTGAGTGGTTAGGATTAGGGCTGAGCTGGGAGGGGGCAGAAGGTGACATCTTTATGACTCCTCCAGAGCCATCCTCGGGCTTTAGGTGGGGACCCCTGAGAGTGGGGGTGGGGCGTGGCTCACGTGTGCACTGTGTCCCTGGATCCTGTCTCCTTCGCCTCCCACGCTGCCCTGGCCTTTGACTGCTTAGGAAGCCTCAGCCCCATCTCCAGGCAGGGCAGGTAGATGCTTCCAGAAGGAGCATTGCTCCCTCCGGCTCAGCCTGCTTTCCCTCTCCCTGCCCATCTCCGCCCACGGCTCCTCCCCGATGCCCAGCCTTCAGAAGTTCTTGGGTCCATTCCCCTGTGGTCACCAACAGTCATCCCTCCAGTCTGGGGAATGGGTCTGGGGACAGCTATTTCCTGTTCTGAGACCCTCTGTCGTCCACTCTGTCTGGGTGCCTCGTTGCCATGGCTCGTCTCCTCCCCTGCACTCGAGCTCCCGTCCTGCCTGAGTCAAGGGCCCACGGCCCCTTCACTGGGCTGGAGAGGGAGCCCTGGACACTGTGGTCAGGAGGTGGGCCTGGGACAGCAGTTCTCCTTCCTGCTGGGGGGCCCCACTTTTCAGGATGCTTTTGTGGGAAGCTCTTCTGTTGGTTTGGGCAGAGGAAGGATGGCTGCAGGGTGACCAGTCCACGGGTGTTTATGGGGACCGCTGCACACCAAGGGTGGTCTCTGGCACAAGAGAGTCTTCAACTGAGTTGGTAAAAATGTTGCTTCGAATCTATTTTGGTTGATGATAGAATAAGAATCACGAGACGATTGTTGGGAAAACAAGGCAGGTCATCCCACCGTGAGATCATTACCCACTCCGGACCCAGGAAGTGGCCCAGATGGCCAGGCAGGGTGGAGTTCAGATCTCCCTACTCGGGTGGACTGGGAGGGCTTCCTGGAGGAGGAAACTCTCTCCAGAGGAAAAGAGGGGAAGTCATCCCACCAGGCAAGACCCAGATGTGGGACCAGGCAAGGAGGGTCCGGGTCTGGTGGAGCTCACTGGAGAAATAGGACCCAGGCAGGTTTCTGTCCCAGGCCACTGTGACTTCATGCAAAGGGCACAAAGTGTGAGCCGGAGATGGGGGTTCAAATCCTGTTGTTCCCTTTAGAGCTGCTGCTTTGGGGACACTCACTGAATTTCTCATCTGGAAAGTGGGCCTAACAGATCACCATGGTCCCTATCTGTCTGGAATCTTGTTGTAAATAAATAGTGCAGGTGAAAATGCCCAGCTGTCAGGAGCAAGATCACTGTACAGTTGTTCCTTGTTGCATTTTGAGGGGACAGTGGCTGTGTGGGTCAGAGGCCAGCACTGGACACCTGGCGAGGGTCCTTGCTGAAGGCCTGTAGAACTGGATGATTCTGATACTAAGAGGATCGACTTCATTTTCCAAATGTTGCCTCCCAAGCCTGGGGATAGCCAGGTCCCTGTTGCAGCCACCAGCCCTGGGGACAGTATGCCTGAGGCCTCACACTGTTCTCTGCCTTTGTCCACAGCCCATCACCACTGAGAGTGCCCTAAAGAATGTAGTGGACACGGTAAGTGACAGCAGGCTGGCTGGGTACCGCGTGTCAGCCTGGGCAAGACGCAGAGGCTGGGGAGCGCAAGGGGATGTGGCCCAAATTGGACAGATGTGGCTGGGACATCCTGCTGGGGTAGATTTGGTGTTCTTGGGGAAACTGGCAAGATGCTGGTGACCCTGGTGACCTTGAGAGGTGAGCAGGTGGAGGGGGAGGGGGCAGCTGTGAGGAAGGGTTAAAAGCGGGCTTCTGTATTAACTATGCAGAATGTGGGGAAGCTCTTTCCAAACAGAGCTTTCTGACTTAGCAGACAGACAGACACCCTCCGGGCCGAGCGGGAGAGGAAGGGGGGGCTCTGCAGTGGAGAAACTGAGGCGAGCCCCTGAGAGGGGTCTCCTGGCAGTGGCCAGCCTGAAACTCCAGGTTTGGATTGGAGGACTTGAGATCAAATCCCGACTGTGCCGAGGTTCTAATTGTGTGCAGGGCGTGAACGCTGCCTCAGTTTTCTTTTCTGCAGAATGGGAATCAGCATCTCCAGCAGGAGTGTCCTGGGATGGAAATGGGCGGGTTCGGCCAGCTCGAGGGCCCTCGGTGAACAGAAATGGGTTAAAACAGACAACACAAGTTTCCGGGGCCCTTCTGCCAACCCCCTCATCCCTGGCACCTCCAGCAGGGGTGGCCGAGATGCCCTCTCTGACTGCCGTCCTTCTGTCTACAGGGAGAAGGAGCCTCCCGGGGTGGAAATTCACGGAAAAGTCTGGAAGAAGAGGTGAGTGTGGGAGGGAGACGAGGAAGTGATGGGGCCCTGGCTCCCTGGGGTGATGGGTGGGAGGTGGATGAGGGCTCAGACCTGTCTTGCCATGTGGGTCTGTCTGATCCCCTTTCTAGGGACATGCCTGTGGGCTGGCTAGTGGTGAGCAGTGTGGGAAGGACGAGGCATGGGCAGAGGCACGGCAGGAGGGACCGGGCTGAGCAGAGGGCCTGGCTCCTAGCCTGGCTGGGCGGGAAGGTGGCAGGGCATGGCAGAGTCCCCCGTGGGGCTTGACGGGGAGGAAGCTGGAAGTGGGGCTTGCGGGTCCCCTGGGCTCTTTCTGCTTTGCATTTTGGTGAGAGGACAGAGGCCAGTTCCCTACATGGAAGGACCCCCCCAGAAGGGCGCGGGGCTCTCCAGGAGCCTGCTCTGAGCTGGGTTTATCTCCATGCCCTCAGGGCAGACCCAACCCGGGTGGCTTCTCCTGTCCTCCTTGCCCCCTCTGACAACGGGCCCCAGTGCTGGCCTCCCCAGCCAGCCTCACCGCCCGCTGCGTGGAGGAACAGGGAGTGGTTTTGGCGGTTGGCACAGGGGGAGCTGTTGATGGCACGAGGCCCTATCATCTGACAGCTGCCTGACCCACGGTGGGGAGGGTGCTGGAGGGAGGTGCTGGGGGAGGTGGGGGAGGCAGCTCCTGCAGGCGGCCACACTCCTGCGGTGAGCCCACGGCCTGCCACGCTGCCTTGGGGCTGCCTGCGTGCCCAGATATACGGAGCGGAGTTATCCAGAGGCTGCACGGGGCCCCCAGGAGGAGCGGCAGCATGCCTCTTAAGTTGGGGGCGAAGGCTATGTTCAAGGTGTGTGTGCGTCCTGCCACTGTGGAGGTGTGTACTGGGGAGGGGCTTCTGTCCAGGTTTGTCATGTTCCTGGGTTGGAGGGTCTGGGGAGATTAATATGTTGTCCTGTGGAGAATGAATTAGCTTTAGGTAGCCAGAGCATATACTATGTGCTCAATAAATGTGAACCATTCTTACGACTGCTATTTTGATTAGGGAAAAGGGTGGGCTGGGTGTTTCAGATCCTCCTGACTCCCCTCTCTCGAGGCTGACCCTATTTTATAGACGAGGAGACAGAGGCGTGGGCAAGTCTGTGAGTGCCACTCCATCCCTTTGTGAATTGTCACTTGGATCTGGTGTCATCCAAGACTCCTGTCCCTTGGCCAGGGGACAGGGTCATAGCCAGTGAACCAAACCATGAAGCTTGGGCACATTTGGAAGCCTAGAGCTGCTGACCTCTACTTCGATTCTGGGCCAGACAGAGCCTATAAATGACAGCTGCAGCAAGAGAGGTTAGACCTCATGAAGAACTGAAGACTGCAAAGTTGTATTTGACCTTGGTGCCTATGGGACCGTTTAGGAAGATGGAAGGCCTTTTATCTTTGTAGGAGAGCATTTTGTTGATCTGGGATGAAGGTGTGTGTGAGTTTGTGTGTTGGGTGGGTCAGGGTGTTGTCTGGTTTGGAGACAGAAGGGCACCATGAGTCTCGCTGGTCTGGTTGAGGGAGTGTGTGGAAGGTGAGCAGCCTTCCACAGGGGGCAGCCCCGAAGATGGCCCGCAGATTGCTGGGGAGGAAGGACGCTTTGCTCCTGACTCCCGTGGCCACCCTTTCTGACCATTGAGGTGGCCCCCTGGCCAGCCGCGGGCTCTGCTGCTGTCCTCGGGTGAGGAGCGCGCCTGGCGGGCTGCTCTGTTAATGCGTCTGTTGTGGAGCTGTCCCCGCCTCTGGCCAGCAGCCCAGGACCAGCACCGGGAATGGCTGCCACCCCACCCCAGAGCTGGTGCTCAGCGCAGTGTGTGGACGGTGCGCTGTGTCGCACTTTGTTTTGGAAAAATCCAGGCTAGTGAGCAGGAAGGAGAGAGGAAGGGATGTGGCTGCAGGGGGCTGGCGTGAAAGTGTGGCCACAGCCCCCAGAGGAGTCGCTGGAATGGGGACAGGCCCTGAGGTCGGTGGTCACCAGTCTCGGCTGCCTGGCACGACCCCTCCACGCCCCCCTGCTCCTTACAGACCCTCCTCTCAACCCCTGGGGACTCGGGGTCAGGAAACTTTTTGTTTTGGTCCCGAGGTGTGGTGTATGGGCTGTGGACCTCGAGGAAGGCTGGGCTTCCCGCCCTGGCTGTGTAGCAGGGAAGAGGCAGCAAATAAAGGGGTCTCCAGGGTCGTTGACCTTGAGTCACCCAGGAGTGTCTGAATGAGATCAGACTCCGCCTGCCGTGAGGACCAAGGCAAAAAAAAGTTGACAGTCTGTAGCAGGAAGGATGAGGGATAGATACCAGGAGGAACTTCCTGATCATGAGGAAAATAAGACACTGTCTGGGGAAGGCTGTGGAACCTCCTTTCATGGTGCTCTTTTGGCAAAGGAGAGACTGTTTTGGAGATGAGTGTACGGGAGGGTTCTGTTGGGAGCCTAAGGAGTTGGATCAAAAGTTCTATTATTGGTCTGTGTCTTGGGAGGAGCTAGGAAGAAGTTCAAAGATACGTGAGTTAAGGACTTTGAGATCCCCAGAGAGGAAAAGAATAGGATCCCAGGCAGCGGGGAATTTATTTTCCTTTCTAAAATAAAGTTGGTGACGTCCTCTAGTCGTTTTCCCCAGGGCTCTGAGTGGGGCAGGTGGAGACCCTGTAAGCACCATGCTGAGCCCATTTCACAGATGTGCCAACAAGACGGAGCAGCCCTTCCCCCGGTGGGTCCCTTAGTGGACAGGTTCACTGTACAGTGTGGGACCTGGGGCCAGGGACCTACCCCTCCACTCCCGAGAGCGTGACCTGCACGGAGCCGGGGCCCCTGACAAGGGAACATCCCGGTGATTCATGGTACCCAGATGCCTGGAGCCCTGGACCTGTCCCCCCACCCACCTCCCGGGCCTCTGCAGAAGCCTACGTGACTAGGTGTGCTTCAGCCCCTGGCGGGAGGTCACTTGGGTGTTCTGCCCTCCTCTGCTCTCTGAGTTGCTGTGCGCCTCCACCCGACGCGGTGCCCCTGCACGTCTGCTCCCTGCAGCCAGGGTCACGTGCCCCGCGCCCTGCAGAAAACAGGAAGCCCCATGGGTTCGAGGGCAGCCCAGTGATTCATCAGGGGATGACAGTCCAGCTGTTCGTCCCCATCCTCTGCAGTGGGGTCAGTGTCCAGGGCAGCTTCCTGCCGGCCTCCCCGCCCCGCTGCCCGGTGGAGCAGAGCAGGCTTGGACTCTGCCTTATCACCTCTGGAGGCGGCGTGGCCAGACTCTGTTGGGGCCAAGTTTTTATTTATCTTGCCCGGCTTTTTTTGGGGCGGGGAGGCTGAGGAATGTGGAGTGTCGTAAGGTGGGGAAGAGGGCGGTGGGGAAACGGGAGCCAGGTCCCTGGCCCTGCTCCCTCTCCTCGCCCCTGCGCCTCTGGAGGCTCCAGCCTCCCCGTGGCTCCCAGTTCCCTGGCCAAGCTCGCCTCCGTCCACCCCACCGTCTCCCTCGGGCTCCCTTGGACCCATGTTCTTGGCCACACCTCAGGCCTTGGCTGAGTTGTGGCTTCCAGTTGTTCGAAGCAGCTGTGGTGGCTTCCTTCAAAAGTGGTTGTGGATCAGCAGCAGATGAAACCCAAGGGGTTATTTATAGCAGGGTGGCCCGGGGACCTGGAGCCAGGCCCGGGCCTGGGGAGAGTCAGGGACTCCTCATCAGGGACCAGCGAAATGAGATGGATGAAGTGTTGGATTTCTGCGCTCCTCTGGGTGGGTAGGTTTGGAACAGACTGGTTTGGGGCTTGAGAACCAAACAGCCCTGTGCCCCCCACCCCCTGGCCTGACTCATGCAAACCCGAGTCCTGGGGCCAGGAGAGCCGCGGAGGCTGAGGAACTCTCCGCCCAGCAGCCCCACTTGGCTCTTCAGTCCTCGCGCTGTGGTGGCTGCTGAGCCGCTGGGATCCAGAGCAGCCCAGGCAGGCACTCTGGGCACCACCTTCTCCCGCCTGCCTGGGGCAGCCGGTGAAGAGCCCTCCTCTCCGCAAGCTGCCCTAACTTTAGGCTCAGCCGGGAGCTGGGCCTCAGGCCCACTGCCCACCTCGCAGGCACTGCAGGGCCGGCAGAGGGTGAAGGGGCTCCTCGATCAGGTCCCAGGTCGGAGACTGAATCCTGCTTGGCCATCAGCTTCCCAGGGACTAGGGGGTGAGTCACTCTGCTCTTCACGTCTCCCTCCTTGGCAGACTGTGGTCCTGTCTTCTCCAAGAGCTGGCTGCTAGTGGGTGGTCAGGGAGGGTGGGTTTGGGGGAGGCATGTGGGTACCGTGACACTTGGAGGGCTTGGGCCACCTCGACACTGGGTGTCCTGATTCTGCATCTTGTGAGGTGGTTGTAAGGGTAGAGGATGCTGGGAGCAGGGGATGCAGGGTTTGGATTTTTTATAGGGGGAACTGTCCCAACTGCCCTTCCAGCAACTTCCCTTTGAGTTGCGCTTGATTCAGTGGCAGTGACGGGAGCACCAGCTGTCATCTGCTGATGCCAGGCATAAGGAAAGGGCGTTGCATGCACGATTCCTTTGCATCCCCACGCGAGTCTGGAGGGCTGTGCCATCTTACGCGTGACATTTCACAAGGCTCAGGGGGTTAAGTCACCCTCAAGGTTGCCCAGTCGGGTGCTGGACCAGAGCCTGGGGTCTTGAGGGGCTCTGGTGCTGTGCTCTCAGGGGTTCTGACCCTCTGCTGCCCTGGAAGGTTTGGGGCACCAACTTGGGTCCGTTTGCCTAATCGTGTGCAGTGAGCCACCCAGGAATGGAGTGGGGAGCGGGGGTCATAGTCACTGCATTCTTAGGAGTGTGGCTCAGTGCCGTGGTCCTTGGCTCTGTTCGAATGTGACATGCCTGGCTGTTCTGTCTCAGGACTCTTGGCTGAATGACGGGATGTGGCTGCTTTCAAGGAGGGGAGGGTGTGTGGGATGACAGTGTCAGAGAAGACACGTCCAGAGCTGGACGGGGCACCTCGCCCTCCTCCTCCAGATGCTTTTGGGGTAGTCTGTATTCTTAGGGTCCTACTGCAAGGGTCCGGGAGGTCAGTGGAAAGTGTGTGTCTGTCCCAGTTAATGGAATTTTTGTGTCCCCAGTGCAGGTGGCACCAGCCTGGGAGGGGTGTATTTCTCAACATTGGGGACTTCTTCCTTCTGTCCCTTTGGGGCTCGCCCATGGGCAGGCGGGCTCACGTGGGATTGGCACTGACTGTTTTTGGCTTCGTGTTGCTGGGTTGCTGAGGCGTCGGGGTGGCAGGGCTGGAATGTTGGCAGAGAAAGGAGAAGAGGCTGTGTGCTTGGCCGCTGCCCTGTCTGCTCCCGCTCACGGCTCTCGGCTGCTCCCCTCCTGCGTCCTGCCTGCCCCCCGTAATGCTGAGTCTCTTCTCTCTTTCCCAGGGCTCCACTAGAGTCACCCCGAGTATCCAGCCCCATCTGCAGCCTGTCAGGTACGCCTGGCCCACCGGGGAAGGGGCAGGGGTGCGGGCAGTGGGGTCACTGTGGGTGTTCTTTATAAGTCTTACCCTTGGGTCCCCAAGACTGAAGTCACAAAGTGAAGGATGGGTAGATGGCCTTGGCCGCCATCACTTTTCGTGTTCCAGGGCTAAGCCAGACCTTGAGCTCATTCTTTATTTACCTGCATGAGCTCATCGAGGCCTTGCACCAGCCCTGCAAGGTACCCGCGTTGGCAGATGAAGAACTGAGTTTCAGAGGGAAAAGGTGACTTCTTAAAGGTCACACAGCCATCCAGAAGCAGGAGTGGGGACCTCTGGCCTCGAGGCCTGTGCTAGATCTCCTTGTCCACGGATGGGGTTTCCGATGGTGGGGAGGTTTATAAAAGGGGTCTGTGTGTGTGTGTGAGGGGTCCCCAGGGGGCCGTGCCTCACCCATCCAGACTGATATATCTGCGTCCCTATTCTCTGGCTTGGGTCCCCACCTTCTCTGCCTCACCTTCACCCCCTGAAGCTTTTGGGATTAGTGAGAATGGCAGCTTTGGCGGGGGGCTTAATCCCCTGGAGGTTGTGACTCAGCTGCCCACCGGTGGAAGTGGGTTTTTAGAGGACCCTCTCTTTCCCCTGTGGCTGTAAACAACTGACTTGGGGCAGCCTGAGTGTGATTCTGAGTTTGCCCAGCTGGTGGCGCTGTTCTGCCTTCGCATCCTTCCTGGGAAGCACCCCGAGCGCCAGGCAGGTCCGTGCCCAGGATGGGCTGCACCTGACTCTTGCCGATGGCGACAGCGTCCCCCTTCCTTCCCCTGCTGTGCTGAAGGAGAAGCTGGAAAGAGGAGCTGACCTTCAGTGTTTGTCTGACAGTGCAGTCCCTTCCCTGGAGCCAGGACAGAGGGGCTTTGGAGGGTGGGGAGGAAAGTGGACCAGGCTTCCTGCTTTCATATCCCTTTTGGGGGGTGTAAGTGCTTGTGACTTCTTGTCCCAGGCTGTCCTTGGGTCAGCATGGTCCTGGGGTCTGAGCCCCACACCAGTGGCTGCTGGGAGAAGCTTATCATGGGAACAAGGAGTCTCGGGGGCTCAGAGGTCCAACTCACACTGGGCTCCTTTCCCCTGACCTCTGTTCCATCTACCACTCAGTCCCCTCTCTGTCATCCCACCAGGGAGAGGCCATTGTCATCCTTGACAGGCCCCTTTCCATCCCCATTTAAGCACCTGGGACCTGATCAACCCTAATGGAGATCTGGATTCTTCTAGGCTCCTTGATGTCCTGGGGCTTGTATTCCCCAGTGCCAGAGTCCCCATCCCTTTAAAATACCCTGGCCAGTGCCGTGGTATCCTGCTGTGGTGGAAGGTGAACCAAATGGAATCCAAGTGTTGCCGACCTCGGGTAGAGAGGACAATGACACCAGAGGTGACAAGGTGCAGCGTGGGAGGGTGCGGCTGCCTCCCGAGGCCAGAGGGGGCTTCCCCAGTGCATCCTGGACCCTTCCCCTGGAGGAAAATCCTGGAGAGGTGTCAAGATACGAGTCCCCTGCTCCCCTTACCCGGTGCCCAGGGGAGGGCCAGCTGCCCAGCCCTGGGGTCTCCCCATCTCTTCTGAGAACCCCCCACCACAACAGCACCAAAGACTCTGCACTCCCTTCATTTCCTGGATCCTTAGAAACAGGGAGGCCACAGCCGAGAAGCAGCTCTGGCAGGTGATAGCAGAGCCAGAGGCCGGGGGAGCCAGGGAAAGGAGGACAGGAGCCAGCCTGCCTCCCAGGGCTGGAATGTGCACTGTGGTCTGGCTCACCTGGAGCCTCGGGGAGCATGTCACCTGAGCTTCCCTTCTCTTGGGAGGCCTCCCGGCCCCTCCAGGGCTCCAGCAGAGAAGACGGCCGTCCGGGGTGCTGGGGTGCTGGGGACCACCCGGCCCAGCTCTCTGTCCTTTCACAGGTTGAGTCACAGGTTGATGGGGACCTGGAATTGGGGTCCTCGTCATTTGGTTGTGACATGGTCTGAGGTCCTCGCCAGCCCCTGCCCAGCTGTCTGTCTGGTGCTCAGGCTGGCTGCATAGGCTTTGCCACGGGAAGCCTCTGGCCTTGGCCCTGGGCTGGGGATCAGCATGCTCCGCGGCCTGGATGTGGGGAACCCCACGAGGTGTCGGGGTACAACTACCTGGTGCTTGTATCGGGAGATTCTGATGTGGACCCCCATCTTCCCACAGTCCCCCTAGAAACCTGAGTGTGAGCCGGACCATGGAGGACAGCTGTGAGCTGGACCTGGTGTACGTCACAGAGAGGATCATTGCTGTGTCCTTCCCCAGCACAGCCAATGAGGAGAACTTCCGGAACAACCTCCGGGAGGTGGCCCAGATGCTCAAGTCCAAACATGGAGGCAGCTACCTGGTGAGGACAGGGCACCCTTGATCTGGTGCCCCTCTGCCCTTTCATCTGTGGGCGGCCTCTTCACTCCTGGAGTCTCTGTCCCCCGGTCCTTGGCCGGTGTGTCCTCTTTCCTTTAGCTCTGGAATCTCATGTGGCCTGAGTTGTCACTCCCTTTCCTGCCTGAGTCCATTCTGAGGAGTGTACCTGCAGCCAGAGTGTCGCACTGGGAAGTGTGTGTGTGTGTGTGTGTGTGTGTGTGTGTGTGGACCAGAAGAGAATAACAACCCTAGTTCATGTCCTTAAGCACTTGCTATAAGCCAGGCCCTGTTCAGCCCTGGAAAGGGGACCCTTGCTGGAGCAGAGGTGAGGTATTTGCCTCAGGCCACGGGGTCAGTGGCAGACCCAGTCCAGCATCTGTGCTTCTGAGAAGTCTCTGGGCAGAGTCGTGGTTACATGTGTCTTTGGAGACCTGGTGGCTGGCTCAGAAGACACCTGACGTGGGAGGGTGGCTGGTGAAGGTCCCCTCTAAAGCAGGAAGGCTGACCTGGCCCTGGCTCCAGGTCGGTGTTGCAAGGGGGTGCATGTGAGCTGGACCCACAGGCCACATGTCCCCTTGAAGGGGTGCTGCAGGGGAGCAGAGGTGGGCAGGAGGAGGCCATGAGGGTCCTAGGGTTGGGTAATGGACGACCACAAACTGCATGGATTCAAACGACAGAAGCTTATTGCCTCTCGGTTCTGGAGGCCAGCAGCAGAAATCGGGGCGTCCTCGGGCCATGCTCCCCTTGAATCCCCGAGGGAAAGTCCTTCCTTGCCCCTTTGCAGCTTCTGGTGCTCCCAGCACTGGCTGGCTCCCCTTGGCTGGGTGCATCTCTCGGTTCTCTGCCCCCTTCACATGGCTGTATTCCCTGTCTCTGTGCGTCTTCCTCAGACTGTGAAGACATTAGTCATCGGGTTTAGTGCCCAGCCTAAATCCAGGATGTCTGCTATCAAGATCCTCAACTACTTACAAAGGACCTATTTCCAAATAAGGTCACATTCTGAAGTTCTGAGTGGGTGTGAATTTGGGGGGCACTGTTCAACCCACTGTAGAAGCTCGTCCACCTGCTGTACTGGGGCATTGTTAAGAGCCGGGCTTTAAATGTCCAAAAGCCAGGGTTCCAATTCTGGCTCTGTGCTCACTGTTTCTATGATCTGCCTCAGGCTTCCCCTCTGTAGAATGGGCCTAGCAACACTCTCCTTTTCAGGGCTATTGGGAGAGAGAGGTAGGGTTGGCAGAGGGCGAGTGCTCATTGAGTGGCAGCCATGGTTAATATGACAAGGTGTGTTTCTTTATGGGGTGCAGGAGTGGACGAGAGCCGCCTGAGACCCTTCCTTACTTTAGGAGTCCAGGATTCCGTGTCACCTCTGTGCTCTGTCCTGGCTCCCTCCCTCCTGCTGGGTGTAGGTTCTGCTCTCCCAGGAGGTGACAGTGGTTTCCCCAGCTGTGGGCTGGAGGTGGGCAGCTCTGCCCACCCCTTAGGGGCTGGAGAGAGGACTGACAGAGACTGGGGGTTCCACAGGGTGCAGTCAGGCATGGAAGGGCCTGTGCTGGGAGGGGTGCGTCCCTGGTGTCTGGTGAGGAGACGTTGCATTGTCTCAGGGGGAGGCTCGGAGTCAGCATGTGACGCGGAAACCAGAGACGGCCACCAGCTGTCCTTCAGAACCCCGGGCTCCCTTCCACCTTTCCCTTCCTCTGGTCAGGATGTCCGCGCGGAGGGGCATGCCTGGGGCCTGCATCTCTCTTTCCCCTTTTCCCTGAGGACCTCATTTGAGCTCTTGTTGGTCAGTGCGTGTCCATGGGTGCATCCAGTCTCCATCCGGGGATTGAAGATTCGAGGCAGCACAGGTGGTCCAGGGAGCCCCTGGCCCCGAGAGCTCAGTGGGCTCTTGAGAGGAGTGGTAATGACACCACCCTCCCCATGTGACCGGGGCTTCCTGGCACCCTCTGCTCTTCACTCATGGTCACTTTCTCTGTCTCCTCCTAGCTGTTCAATCTCTCTGAGCGAAGACCTGACATCACAAAGCTCCATTCCAAGGTGAGCTGACGGCCGTTTTGGGGTGACTTTCCTCCTGGGAGAGGAGAAGAGACCCCCTTCCGTGGTTCCCTCATTGGAATCTTGGGGGAAAGCACCAAGTGACAGTTGGAAAAAACTACTTAAAGTCCAGGTGCCATCTTAGATCTGGAAAAGGACAGTAACACATTGATTAATTCCATAATGTAAACTGCGGGGGGCAGAGCTCGGTGCAGTGGCGTCCTACCCGGGTCCGCCCCCCGGGAGCCCGCGAGGCCTCTGGAGGGGGTGGAATTGTGAGATTTCATGCGGTTGGGCATGGCAGCTTTGATGTTCCTGCCACAGTGACTACTTGGTCTGCTCCGTGGGTTGTGCGGGGCTTTGCCACGAATGTCTGCCCCCATCCTGGATTCTGGGGCCTGTTGCTGTGTGATCTTGGGCTGGTGGCAGACTTCCCAGAGGGTGGTCTGGGTTAGGTGTGCTCCAGGGGACCCTCCAGGCTCTCGTTTACTTTAAGTCTGTGAGTTTGGAAAAGTTCTGAGGAGCCAGAAGACCTTCAGACGGCTTTCGACTGGCTCCCAAAGTGGGTGGCCTGACTGTCCAGGGCCTGGAGGAGAGCGGTGAAGCCACAGAGCCCTTTGCCTTTCCTCTCCTGTCCTGCTACAGGCCTCGGGGCCATGGGTGGCAGGGGAGCTTGAGGGCCATGCTCGTAGCTCCTCTGAATGTTTGAGCTCACTCACGAGCTGCAGACCTCGGGGTCCTTGCCTCCAAGCCTTTGCTTGGCACATAGATGAGGAAACTGAGGCTGGGAGGGGGGACATGGCTCGCCTTAGACCCCACAGTGAGTCTGGGCTGGAGCTGAGACTTGGGCCTGGGGGCTCCATCCTGGCCCATGACCTTGACCTCCACACCTTGCCTCCCAGCAAGGCTGACAAGCAGGGAGGGACTGTTGGGCTGCTGGGACCACCTGGTACTGGTGGTTGGTGCGCAGTGCCCCGGTGGCCGGGTTGACTCCTGGGTGTCCTCTTCTCTCTCCTGGCTCTGGCCTCAGGTACTGGAATTTGGCTGGCCTGACCTACATACCCCAGCCCTCGAGAAGATCTGCAGCATCTGCAAGGCCATGGACACCTGGCTCAACTCAGACCCGCACAACGTCGTCGTGCTACACAACAAGGTGGGGGGTGTTGTTGTGGAGGGGGGTGCGCATGCGTGGGCACAAACTGAATGGACTTGGAGGAGTGTGCGAACCTGCCTGTCTCGGATTGCATGAGCACCCAAGTCCATCAATGTGTTTTTACCATTCTAGGGGACAACAGATTCTGTCCCAGGGGTCACCTCCAAGAAGCAGGGGACACCAGCTTAGGTCTTCGGCTCTTTTTGGAGACTCGCTCCCCCTTGCCTCCCTCCCCGGCGTCTCCTTCCTCCTGCTCTCTCCTGGAGCCGCGCCCCTCTCTCCAGCCCTTGCTCCCTTCCCTCCTAGGTTTCTGGACAGGCTCTGGGGCGGCAGGGCCAGCCTTAGACATAAAGCCTTCTTCCTCTTCCAGGGAAACCAAGGCAGGATAGGGGTGGTCATCGCGGCTTACATGCACTACAGCAACATTTCTGCCAGGTAAGGGTGCCCGGAGCCTCCCGCCCTCTAACCATCAGCAATAGGACACCCCTCTTCCCACCCACCCATGGTCCCTGCCTTCCCTGGGCTGGGAGGATCTGTTAGAGGGCATGAGAGGTAACCAGGGGGCGTGGGAGACTCAGAACAGGAGATGGTGCGTGCCAGGGCCCTGAGGCAGCAGCCTGTGCACAGAGCTCAGGAGCCAGGGGTATTCACCCATCTGGAGCCCTGGTGGGGCCACAGTGGGGGCAACCCCAGTCATGAACACCCCATCCAGCCAGCTTTTGGGGGCCACTTGTCCTTACCCAATTGCCTTCTGATTCCCTGGAAGAGCAGGTAGAAACACTGGATCAGATCAGAACCTGGTGGAATCCTCTAGAAGTTATGTCATCCATCCCTCTGCCTGTGGCCAGCAGGGCCCTGTTCCCACTGGGTGTTTTAGAGCAAGAATAGGAAACAGACAGTGGATGATTCCGGTTCTGGTTCCGTTCTGCAGGAGGCCAAAGATTCATCCACTTCCTCATTTATGTCAGCCACGACTATTGAGCAACCCTTATGCCTTGCACCATAGTAGGGAAGACTGCAGAGGGCAAAGTCCTTGCGGACGTTAACTAAGCAATTACATCAGTAGCATCTGGTGGCGGTGACTGAGAAAGAATAGAGACAGGGAAAGACAGCGAGGGAGGGGTGCGTGGTCAGGGAGGGCCTGGGGGACAGGCGACCTGGTGCAGACACCCCACGCAGGGCTGAGTCCCGTGAAGTCTGGGGAGGGTCTCGCAGGCCGAGTGCAGGGGCGGGACCCAGCCCAGGGGGGGGGGGGGGTGCAGGAGGCTGGGGCCTTGGAGCCAGGGAAGGTGGGTGGGGGGAGCTGGAAGGACAGAGCCATTTGGCCTTGAGGGCCTTGCTGAGGACCTTGGAAGAAGTCACAGGAGAGTCAAGAGCAGAGAAGCTGCGTGATCTGTCTTTTCATTTCAAAATGTTCTCTCTGAGCGCTGTGAGGGTGAACCTCTGGCAGAGGGCTAGTTTGATGACCTGGGAAGTCCAGCCCAGCGGCATCTTCTTAGTGACAAACATGCCCCGTGTGCCCCTGTGTGTTCACATGTGCACCTTTTTGGGTGTCATCTCGCTTAAGCTCCATAAAGCTTTTGAGGAAGGTGCAATGATCAGCCTCACTGGACAGGTGAGGGAGATGAGGTCGAGAAGGGCACACGGGGTCAGTAATGGGGGACTTGGTGCAGCTCCCAGGCTCCCAGGCCCCCTGGCTCTGAAGTCCCGGGCTGAGCGCTGCACCTCACAGGTTGGACAGATGCTGGAGCACTCTTCTCCTGAAAGCTTCTCAGCCCAGCAAGCCTGTTCCTCCTGCTGGGCACCAGGGCTGCTGGTGGGCTCTGCAGCTCTAGGAAGCAAGAGTGGGGAGACAAGGGGCCCTGGGGTGTGGGGCTTGGCTTGTCCGACCACTGTCTCTCCCCACAGTGCTGACCAAGCTCTGGATCGGTTTGCAATGAAGCGGTTCTATGAGGATAAGATCATACCCATTGGGCAGCCATCTCAGAGAAGGTGGGTCTCCAGGTCCTGTGTGTGTGTGTGTGTGTGTGTGTGTGTGCGCGCACTTCCTGTCCCTGGGGTGTCTTGTATACTCACAGGGGGTGGAGCGGCTGCTTAGGGAGAGGTGTGTCCAGCACATGTGCTCAGTCTGGAGAGGACACAGGTGAGCCCACGGGCAGGCTGAGTGTGCCCACAGGTTGGCGTGGCAGTTGGTTCCTGAGGCCTGGGTCAGAGCGCAGACCGTCCCAGGAGGGCATCAGTCTGGGGATAGAAGGTGCCTCTTTAAGAAGGCACGTGCTGTCCTGGCCCTGGTGGCTGGATTGCTTCAGCGTGTGGATGAGTCTCCAGGAAGCTGATGTCACTGCCACCATCATGGAAGGTCACAGAGACTCAAGATAAGAGTCACCTTCTACTGGGAGAGTTTAAAATATTTCTTGGGGGGCCCGGAACCACATGGGCATGTTGGAGTCTCCTAAGAGCCCACGCAGACGCGGGATGGGGATGGATTGATTCATTCATTTGGCAAAAGTCGAGGTTCTCTACTACAACCCCACGCACTGGGACATCTAGGTGAACAGGACACAGTCCCTTCCCTTAGTGAGCTGGTGGTCGGTTGAGAGAGATGGACTTTAAACATGTGACCCTGCATACAGGACAATGCCATATAGCAGTGAGTCCTCAAAGGGAAGAGAATGGACCGCTGCAGAGACCCAGGGCTGGTGGCAGGGGAATGGGGCTGTTCTAATGGGGACAGCTTGGAGGACCTCTCAGAGGAGGCAATTTCGTACGCTGAGATAATGCTTAGCTACCAAATGAAGATCTAGGCATCGTCCTTTGACAGATGAGAAGCCTGAGCCCAGGGAGGGGACATGGCCAGGAGAGAGGCCAGGCAGAGCTGGACGGTACGTGGAGGACTAGAAATAACCAGGTGGGACTCTGGGTGTGCTGCCCACTGTCCTGAGGGATTCTGCTGTGTGGACAGCATGTTCAGTGATGCCTGGTCCATAGGAGGGGATGGGCAATGTCAAGGCCAGGTGGACATTGGGGAGGCTACAGGCAAGATGGTGGGTTAACGCAAGCCCAAACTGTTAGCCTAGAGCACAGGACTCAGGCCCCTTGTCTATGTGGCCAGGACTGGTGGGCCTGCCACCCGCCTGTGACGTGTCAGCACTGTCCTACTCACTGAGGATACAGTGCTAATTTGTCAAGCAAGGACATGGAGCTGAGCTTCTAGGGGATGACACCCAATTTCCCCAACAAAAGGTCATTTTGGACAGTGACAAGTGGCTTTGAAACAACAAACAAAGGTGGAGGGCGAGGGGGTAGATTCCAATGGACAGGCCTCCCGAGGAGGTGACAGGAGGTAGGATCTGAGAGGGAGAGGGACCCACCCAGTGAAGGTCCCGGGGAAAGGATCCAGGCAGAGGTGCAGCAAGGTCAAAGGCCTGGAGCGCAAAGCATCCTGGCTGCTTTGTAGCCCCTTGGAACTATAGGTGCAAGGCCTGGACCTCCCCAGCCTCTTCCTGCAGAGGGTCCCCAGTATGTGTCCCACCACCCTCACCTCGCTTGGCTGGCCTGAAGCTGGCTGCCACGGACTGTTCCTGCCATCACGGCAGGAAGCCCAAGCAGAAGCAAGTGTGTCCTCAGGCAACCCAGTTGTCACAGAACAGCTGAAGGCCAACCTCTGGGTCAGCAGTCAGAGATGGGCGTCTTTCTGGGCAGACAGTTCTGGCTAGGCCTCCAGACGGGGCAGCCATGGGTCAGTGAGAACCTTCCCAGAAAGGGGAGCGCTGGTGGTCAAGGACCAGTTCCCTGGTCCCTGGTGGCCATGCATAGCTGCTGCTGGTCCTGGTCCTGGTATGGCCCTTGACCTTGAAGGATGAGAGCTACTAATGGAGAAGCTTGCTGACCTGATTCTTGGAGGTGGTGGAGCAGCAGAGGCCTGAGATGGAGAGGCACTGATGTTACCGCTCAGCAAAGGGGTTGTCCGGGTGTTCCCCTGTGTTTGTGCACGGTGCTGCGGGGCGTGTCTGTATGTGCACACTATCTGTGGCTGCCCGGCAGCTCCTATCTGCCCCGGCATCTGCCGAGGGCCGGGCCTCTATCTGCCCACACGTGGAGTGCAGTTGCTGGTTGCCCATGCGTCTGCTGCTGCTTTCCCGCCATGTTGCTGGTGCGGCTTGCAGGGAATCTGGCAGCTGGAGGAGAGGAGAGCGGGAGGGGCAGAGGGAGGGGCTGTGCCTGTAGCTCCTCCATTTATTGTCACGGCCCCCCCCTGCTCATTGTCCCCAGCACACAGACACATCCTGTTGGCACGACTGGGAGATCTGATGGGAACCGCCATTCTAGGTTTCCGGTTTGAATAATGGGACTGGGGGCTGGGCAGGGGCCTGAATAGGAGCTGGTGCTGCCCATCAGATTATCTTGCTTGGGTAGTCCAAGGTGGCCCCACCCAGCCTCAGGGACAGAGGCCCACTGGTCTGGAGGTGGGCCAAGGAGCCAAGAGACAGGCGGGGAGCATTGTCATGGTCAAGCAGTTCCTGTCCCACCCCCCAAAGCCCTGTTGGCTCCTGCAGAGCTTCAGGATGTATTTGGTTGGTCTCCCTGACTCAGCCTGGCACCCTCTGGCCAGTCAGAAAGAGAGGAAGTGCTGACCCATCAATGGTTAGTTCTGCCCCCAGTTCAGACGGTGCACTGAAGCCCAGGCTGCTTCCCCTCTCCCTCCCACCCCCAGCGCTGTGTGTTCTTGCTGTGTGTCTCCAACAACCCTTTCTGGGCCTGCTTTCCCCTCACTGTCTAGAAGAAGGGGAGGTGGGCTAGTTTCTTCCATTCTTCCAACAACATCTTTATTTTAAAAATTGGGGGATGCTGACCCTAGAGAGAGGGATACTTATTCAAGTTAGTTATCACAAATATCAAGTAAAGTGACAGAAACTGATGGGCTCCATACACTTTAGTGACATAAAGTGAAGGACTGTCATAGTTAAGCTCTTGCTATTTGCTGGACTCACGTGGATGGTGGGGCCTAATGGGAAGCTTGGTATCAGGGTCCACATTGGCCTGGTTTGGCTCCGTGTGAGCTGTTAGAGCTGCTTGCTGCCTGGGCAGCCTGCCTTGTGCAGGAGGGAGCTGCTAAAGGATGAGGTGCCTGTCACTGTCAGGGGTCAGGGAGGAATTTTGGTCCCCAGGAGGTTCCTGGGCAGCAAGGGAAGCAGGAAAGAGATGCTCACATTCACCACCAGTGGGCGCAGGAGAACGCCAAGTGGGCTGTTAGCCCTGATCCACTCGGGATCCTTTACCTGCTTGCTGTTTTCCCTGTGGGGCTCCGAGCGGCCAGCTAGGCCTGCCCTGGGGCCCAGCCCTCAGCTGCCAGGAGCCCTGGGTGGGGGCCAGAGTTGTGGGGTGCTGAGTAAGAGGGAGGTGGGAGCCACGTTCTTGCAGATGGAAAACCAGGTCCCTCTCCCTGAAGTCACCTCTCCCTGCCCCAGGTATGTGCATTACTTCAGCGGCCTGCTCTCTGGCTCCATCAAAATGAACAACAAGCCCTTGTTTCTGCACCATGTGATCATGCACGGCATCCCCAACTTTGAGTCCAAAGGAGGTACCTGCCCCGAGCCCTCCCTGGGGCCTCCCTTCCCCTCCTCCCTCCTGCCTTGGGTCTTCAGAGGCAGCCTTGGGGCGGGAGGAAGCAAGTCAGCAGCAGAGTCCTAAGGCTTCCACTGGAGCCTCACCTGCATCACTTCCTGAATCTTTTTGAGCTCCAGTCTATTTATCTGCAAAACGAGCTTGGTATTTGCAGTCCCTTCTGGCAGATGATGTTGGCGGTGGCAATGTCTTGTCCACTTAAAATGCCTTTTGAATAAAAGTTAGTATTTCTTCTCCTTTCTGCTTGCTTTTTTTTCTCTGTCCTCATACCCCCCTTCCTTTCTTCCTTCCTTTCTCGCTTTGTTTTCTCCTCCGCCTGCTGTTCCTAACACCACCTTCTCTGACAGGGTGTCGGCCTTTTCTCCGCATCTACCAGGCCATGCAGCCTGTGTACACGTCTGGCATCTAGTAAGTATTCTATGGGAGGCCAGGGAGGGCCACGGCCCAAGGCCGGGCGCAGGGAAGGTGGGAGGGAGGCTGCCTCGACTTCTCGAGAGCAGCGGGGAAGGGAGGCAGTCAGGGAGGCCCCCGCAGGCCTGGGCAGAGGGGCAGAGGGAGAGCAGCGGCACTCTCTTCCTCTGCCACCCTCTGTGCCTTAGCAACATCCCGGGGGACAGCCAGACGAGCATCTGCATCACCATTGAGCCAGGACTGCTCCTGAAGGGAGACATCTTGGTGAGTGCCGCCCTCCGTCTCAAGCCCACCCTTTTCCCTTTCGGGCTCCTTCTTACCCTAGGGACAGGACAGCCACTCCCGGTGGGCTCAGGACTTGGAACTGAAGGCTCCCAGGGTTCCTTCAAGACCTTCCGGTCTCAGACAGCCCTGGCCTGGTCCCTTCCCTGCCCTGGTGTCCCTTCCCTGGGCCGACCTTTTGTCCTGGGACATCTCCAGGGAAACCCAGTCAGTGTGAGCTGATACCACCTAGCTCCCTCCTGGTGACAAGGACCCCCCTCCATGCTAACTTCAGCCGCTCTGGGGCACTTCAAACCTGCTTTTCCTTTTGGGATTCCAATCTGTCTGTGGGAACTTCTTGGCAGGACAGTTTTGTTCCTACAAGTCTCTCAGGTGTTCTAGAATCTTCCCCAGAGAGTTCTAAGTTCCTGTTTGGTGTTGGTGACTGCTCTTTCCTGGGTTTGCGGTGCCCCTTTGGGCTCCGTCTGTGGAGCAGACCAGGAGGCTCCCTGAGACCCCACCTCCCACCTCTGTCTCTCCCCACCCCCAGCTGAAGTGCTACCACAAGAAGTTCCGGAGCCCCGCCCGAGATGTCATCTTCCGTGTGCAGTTCCATACCTGTGCCATCCATGACCTGGGGGTTGTCTTTGGGAAGGAGGACCTCGATGAGGCCTTCAAAGGTGGGCCCCAGGGTGGGGCTGGGGCGGGGCTCGTGGCAGGGAGGAGAGCTCAGGTTCTGGAGATGTGGTGGGCATGGGGGCCACCATTTTTGAGCCACATGGTCTGCCAGGATCTTCTTGGTGACAGTGGGAGGGCATTGAGAGAGAATTAGGAGCCAACCAAGGCAAGTGGCTAGGACTCAAGTGGAGGAGGTTCCTCCTCAGTCCCTGGCCTGTTTTGTATCTCATACTCTCCGAGGACTTGGCCCATGTCTTCTTTGCCTGGTCCTTGGCTGGGCATCTGTACCAGGCTCAGTACTAAGTGCCGGGGAATCAGAGTCAAACACAACATGCTCTCTGTTGGTGGAGCTAAAAATCTAGGGGAGGCAGCTCTAGAAGGGACCGTTACCCCCCGGGGCAGAGGAGCTGTAGTGGAAGGGCTGTGGCGACAGGAGGCAGGAGGAGTGGGCAGGGAAGGTTTGGTGTCTTTTGCTGCTTTCTTCTGTGCATCTGAGGTCCCATCTATATCACGCTCAGGCCTGGGCTTATAGATACACCACCCATCCATCCTCCATCCCTCCAGCCATCTGCACATTCATTTATCCAACTGTTCATATACCCATCCACCTATCCATTCATCTACCCACCACTTGCCCACTCATCCATCCATCCATCCATCTATCTATCCATCCATCCATGCACCCCCTCACCTATTCATCTATCCATCCATCTCTCTAACCACCTACCTGCCTACCATCCATCCACCCGTCCACCCATCCCCACCCACCTGCCCGCCCACAGAGTCTAAATGACAGGTGTGTGCTAGACGCTAGGGATTCAAAGAGAAGTCAGGCCTCTGGGAGCTCACAGTCTCCTGGGAGAGAGACATGCAAACCTGACTCTATGAAGTGAGACCTGCAGGAATGGACACAGGCGCTGGCCTGGTGGGGTCCCACAGAACAGATGCCGTCCTTGCTATGTCCTCTTCCTGCAAGCAGTAGACAGTGATCAGCATCCAGACTGCGCTCAGGCAGAGAGCAGAGGGAGACTGGGCCACCCAGAAGGGGCAGGTCCCCTCAGTAAAGTCTGCTCATTCAGGGCAGGGATGGCTCTGAGATGAGTTCTCCTTGTATCTGAGCCGGGAGGGCAAAAACAGATGGTGCTCTAATAATTACAGAGCAGACAGTCACTGCCATCAGTCTTGAGGAGGAAAAATAAAGATACTGCTGATAAAATAAATACGAGGTTGGGGAGAAGCAGAGCACAGGAGGTTCCCAGATCAAGAAGTAGAGGCTGAACTATAATATATATAGCTTCAAAGGTAATTGGTGGGATAAACAAATGATAAGCTAACCAGATCTGAGAAGAAAGGAGGTGGTTTATAGGAGCCAAATCATTCAGCTTCATAGTGGTGAATCAATGAGATGATTTAAAATGTATACAGAAATACTGGCATGAAATAATGGGTGGTATTTAGAATCATAAAGGTCGCTTGCTTGTAGAACCCGAAATAGAAATGGCTAGAAGTGGTACCTTAGGCAGGTAGGACTGGGGCTAGGGTGGGCAGGACATGGGATTTTGATGTTCATGTGTAATTTGAGTTTAGATACATATTAAATGCTATTTTATTATTAACCATGTGTATGTGTATGACTTAATTTTTTTCCAAAAGAAATGAGTTTTTCTGGTTAATATTTATGGAGCCCTTTTTGGGGATTCATTGCCCATTTTTGTTTTTCCCTTCTTTCTTTTTTTTTTTTTAGATGACCGATTTCCAGAATATGGCAAAGTAGAGTTCGTGTTTTCTTACGGGCCAGAGAAAATTCAAGGTATACATCAAAGTAGAGTTCATTCTTGCAGCCCTTCCCTCCAGGCTCCATGTCCCTGTCCTGCTCCCACCATCCTCCCACTGGGCTGCTTTACGATGACCAAGTTACCTGTGATTGAGAGCAGGCCAGCAGTAAAGGATCTGAGTATCAGAGTGGACCCCTAGCTAAACATGAACCAGTGACTTACTCTCTGGATAATAAAAATAAAAAAGCAGACAGAGAGGCGCTGAGTTGGATAAACTGTTCTGGTCCTGTTAGGTCACCATTTGGTTATATTCAGAAACTAGATGGAGGGAATAGCCAAGGGGGACACTCCAAGGTGCTGGATGGATGATATTTATGTGAACTGAGGTGATTCAACCTGAAGCCCATTTAATAATAGCCTTTAAGTCTCTGGACTCTAAATATGGAGCCCAGTTGTTATTCCTCTTAATTGAGAACAGGATGGGAGGCGATGCAGTTAGGTTACAGGCCGAGGGACTCCAGACTGAAGGACTGCTGGGCCCCGAGGTAACTCGCCCTGAAGGCCAGTCTTGCAGCTGTGCTGTGTCTGAGCTGTCTCTCGAAGGGTGGGGAAGAAACTTGGCTCTCCCTGCAAGTGTCTGTCAGGAGTGCAGAGCATGTTAAGTGGGGGCAGGTGCACGACCTTGTAGAGGCTTGTGTCCTCCAATGTCAAGTCTGTGGCTTCCCTGCCATCACTGATCCCAGGAAAGCCTGTCCCATAGCCCTTTTCCCAACTCCAGGGCAGATCCGCTGCTCTCTAGGCCCTGCCCCAGGGCCCCACACGAGGAAGAGGCAGATACCTGGCAGGGCTGTCCCCGGCTGTCTCCTGGGGTCTGCATTCCTTAGTGCCCTGTCCTGACTTACCCCTCTGACCTGGAAGGAGCCTTTTCAAGAATGCACGCAGTCAGATTCCTGGCTCCTCCACCTAACTGAGGCCACTGCTCCCGCCCGCCACGCTCCGGAACATGAGAGGTCTCTTAGGAGCAGCCTGGGGGGAGCTGTTGGCTTTCTGTTTTTCCAGCTGCTGATCTCTTTCCCTGTCCCTACTGTCCCCTGCCCGCCACCACCTTTCCCATCCCGCTCAGGCATGGAGCACCTGGAGAATGGGCCGAGTGTGTCTGTGGATTACAACACCTCCGACCCCCTCATCCGCTGGGATTCCTACGACAACATCAGTGGACATCGGGAAGATGGCATGGAGGGTAGGTGGGGACCCGTGTGCTGGCCCTGTCTAGGCTGCCCAGCCCTGGCTCTCGTGGCCTTGGCTTTCTGGGAGAGGTCTGGGAGGTCTCCTTGGAGGAGGTGGCCTTATGTGAAGCTTGCGATACCTCCGTGCTGCAAACAGGGCACTTGTTGCATTTCTTTTAAACCCTCTGCTGCCGGCTGCCAGTGTTCCCTGGGGTCGGAGCGTGGGGAATGCAGACGCTTAGGGCCAGAGAGCTTTCATCCAGGGCCAACGAAAATGTTGGAGAGCTGGAAACCAACCCACCAGCTCTGGGGTGTGGAAAGGAATCTACAGAACTGAAATGGATGCATGGTCTGGCTGCAAAACCTGACATTAAGTCACATGGCCCCTGCAGCGGGGTCAGCTCTGGAGAGTTACATGGGAGTTCTAGCTGTTTATGTGGCTTATTTGAATGTGCATGAGGGGGCGGAGCCCAGGGACTCTTGGGACATCCTGCTTGGGGTTTGGACCCAGGCTTGTTCTCCTGACTTGGTGAAAGGACCCCAGAATGTTGGAGCTGGGGGATCGTCTGGCTAGTGGGGGTAACTGAGACTCGGAAGGCAGGACCTTCTGATTTATCCCCACGACCCAGCATCGACTACTTGGTCCCTGCCCCCACGGAAGCCAGCTGGGACCCTGGGCCGCGTGGCTGTGCGGGGTGAGGGAGTGCCCGGCCCGAGGGCCTTCTCTCTGCCCTCCTTGCTCTGTCGCCTTGTCTCCTGCCCTGATGGCTCTTCTCTGAAGCCTCCTGGGAGAGGGATCAGAATGAGCCCCTGGCATCACGGAGGCAGGACTGGGAGCGGGTGGACGAGATTCAGGGGCTCCGGAGGGTGGGTGCTCAGGTGCGGCACTGCAGGTTTGTGGCTTGTCCTCACTACCTACCTGAGCTCCCTGCCCCTTCCCAGTGCCATCTCGTCCCTCAGGGCCCAGCGTCCTCAGCCAGAGACACCCACCCACGCCCTCCCTGCCCACTGGGCTGTCCCCCCCCGCCAGCTCTGCTCTTCCCTGCACCCCACCACCCTGTGCCAAGTGGCCAGGGAGAAAGCAGAGGGACGGAGGGCCGCCAGCCTCCTTGTTCGTCGTCCTGGGGATGTTTGCATTTTTAACAAGAACACTTGGCAATTTGAAGGAATTTGTAATGCTTCCCGCCTCTGCCTGATGCAGATTCAATGCGATGATAAATGTAAAAACATCTAGTGAACCAAGAAGTGCCAGGCAAATAAAAGGTAAAACAATTAAAGGCACTGGGAGGACGAGGCTGAGGGAGGGAAGGAGAGCAGACGGACGAACCAGAGGAGGCTGGGGACGTCGGAGGCTGAGGACGCGGGAGGCTGGGGAGGAGCACAGGGGCTGGCGTGGAGGCCCTGACTGCTGTCCTGCCCCTGGCCCTGCCTCCTCTCCCCTCTGATCTGCTCCCCCAGACAGGGGGACAGAGTCAGCGGGACCTTTGGGACGATGTTAAAGGCCAGCTCGTCCTACCAGGACAGAGGGGCTCCTGTCTGGAGGCTGAGAAGCTGGTGCTCTGCCTGCAGGGGGCGCTGCTCAGGGCTCTTCTGCCCTCTTCCCTGGCCTGGCCTGCTGAGGGCTGGGACAGTCACCAGGGGAGAGCCACTCTCTGCTCCTACTGTGTGCTCTCTGCTGCTGGCTGTCCCAGAGTGCAAACGGAGCCAGTCCTTGGGCAGGACAAGTGACCAACCCCAGTCTTGCTCCTGGTTGGTGGCATTTCTGGAAGACTCCATTATGCTTCCTAGAGGTAAAAGGAGACAGGGACACTGGAGGCCTGTGTCTCTCCCTGGTGGTGGGCGACCCCTCACAGCTGGGGTGGGGGGTCTAGAACGCGTGACTCGGGTACTCAGGAGATGCTGGAGGGGGTGTGGCTGTTCCCTGTGGAGGTCCTGGGCCGGCTGGGCAGGCTGATGGGAGGTGCCCTGTGTGTGGGGTGAGCACGCGGGCTCCAGAGCCAACTGCTGGGGGCAGATCCCTGCTCCCCCTTCATAGCGCACCCTCTTGCTCAAAGCATTTAGCCTTTCTGTTTCCTTAGTTTCCATGTCTACACAGCTGGGACAATATTATTCACTCTGTGGGATTATCGCAGTGACGTTCGTGAGAGGAGGTTTAGTATAGATGCTAAGAATGCAGTGCCTGGAGCCAAACTGCTTGACTTCAAGTCCTTGACAACATGCGGGCCCCTGGGGCCTCGGTTTGCTCATCTGTAAAATGGGAATTACTCAACAAGTCTCTTGGAGTGACTGTGGTGTTTCCACAGAGTGCCTGACACATCAGTGCTGACTGAGGCCTGTTCCTCAGAGGTCTGCAGACCCGCATGGCTAAGGGGGAAGACTGGATTTACCACGCTCCAGTCTTGGTGTCAAGAACTCGGTGGTTGCCGTCTCTGTGAGATGGGTGGTGTTATTTGCCCTGATGGGGAAACTGGGGTACAGATGGGTTCAGTAAGCAGCTCAAGGTTGCCAGGCAAGTCGAGGGCACCTCTGGGCATGGAGCCAACCACAGTGCTGACCATGGTGCTGTCCAGGGTGGCTGACCTCCCTGGGGGCCTGTTCTGGGCATCTCGCTCTGTGCCGATATCTTGGTCCTCGCTGGAGGCAGGAGGAGTTAGACCAGGTGGGTGGGCCATGGTGTGTAGCACCCCAGAGACCACAGGCTCCCTCAAGGCAGACTGGGTCTCCCCTCCCGGTACCTGCGGGGTGCTCAGGAGTGCCCTGGGAGGGGCCAGCCTCCCCAGGTAGGTGGAGGGTGGTTGTCCAACGTGAGATGAGGCCATTGCTGGAAGTGGCCACCTCCCCTGTCTGTTTCATGCGTGCTGGAGGAGGGGGACAGGAGAGGAGGGGACAGGAGAGGCCAGCCAGTTCCTCCAAAACCCACTGGTGACTCAGAGCAGGAGGCGGGGCATCAATCGTCTCTGGCCTTTGTCCTCTTGAGTGACCTGCGTCCGCACTTGGCCCCTCTCTCGGCTGCACTCTGCTCAGAGCTCCTGGTGACCCTGACTTGACCACGTTTCAGGAACTGCTCTGTTGAAACCCTTCCTTGCTACCTGCGGCTCCCTCTTCCCGAGCTCCAAGTTCGACTCAGGCCCTGGGGCATGGGGACACTCAAAGCCCCCTTTCACTGCCTCAGTACATCCCTGATCAGTCTTGATGGCAAAATGAAGGAAGAAAATCCATATCAGGTCCCCTGATTCTCAGGAGCCTGACCTCCCAGGCTGGGGTGGCTGAGGTGGGACATGACGCCCGTCTGACGCCCTCCTGCCACAGCGAGGTTCCCTCCCATGAAGGAACCCACCTTGGCGTTAGCTCGGCTCAGGCTGTACCAGCTCCATTGTCCCCATCAAGACCTCAGAGGTCAGCAAACCTGCAGGGCCGTGACGTAAGAGGTATGATGCTTGGATCCGGGAGTGTTTGACTGCAAATCCCTTCCTCCCGCAAAGCTCAGCTCCCACCCCACACCTGAGGGGGCTCCTTCAGGATGTAGTCCAGCTCACCACCACCCAGGACAGGCCCAGGAGGTAGAACCACAGAGAAGAGGGACAGCTGGGCCTCTGGGTAGTGACCTGTGGCTTATGAAGGGCTTATGAAGGGCAATTGAAGAAGGAGGTGGGTGGGGCTTGGTGGCACATGTCTGTAGTCGCAGCTCCTCTGGAGGCTGAGGCAGGAGGATCACTTGAGTTTAGAAGCTTGAGACCAGATAGTGAGATGTGCCTAAAAGAAGGAAGGAAGGGAGGAAGGAAGGAAGGAAGGAAGGAAGGAAGGAAGGAAGGAGGGAGGGAGGGAGGGAGGGAGGGAGAAGGCCGGGGTGTGGTGGCTCTGTGGTAGAGTGCCTGCCTAGCATGCTGCCCTGGGTTCAATCCCAGCACCAAATAGAAAGAAGGAGGTGGAAGTTCAATGTCAAGGATCTCTGACTAGACCCATGGCTCCAGGGGGCAGAGGAGTGCCTGCCATCTTGGGAGACCCCTGTCTCCTAGCAGAGCCGTCTGGGGATTTGATGGGCTGATGTCTCGTCTGCTCTGGCCCCGGAACAATGCGCCGCAGTCTGGGGGCTTGAAAAACAGAACTGATTCCTCACTTTTCTGGAAGCGGGAAGATCAGGTGTGAGTGGCTTGTAGATGCCGTCTCCTCCCCGTGTCTTCGCACAGTCTCCCCACTACATGTGTCTGGGTCCTAATCTCCTCTTCTAAGGACAATGGCCAGACTGGAGTGGGCCTATTTTAGTGACCCCATTTCACCTTAATCACCTCTTTTAAGATCCAACCTCCAAACGTAGCCACATTCTGAGGTCCTGGAGTTAGGACGGCAGCGTATGAATCTGAGGGGGACAGTTCAGTTTGCTGGGTCCCATGCAGCCGGATGCCCAGGGCCTCTGGTCCTGAGGGGGAGGAGGTGAGGGTCTAGGGGGGTCTGGGGAGAGACCGGCCCCCACCGATCTCCTCCTTATGGGCTGCCTCTGCCTCTCTCCAATTTGGTCTGGAGCCTGCCAGCTCAGCGCCCTGGCTGACACCACCGTCTGCAGCTTCCAGAAGCCCCATTAGTTCCTTGGCCTGAGTTCTGAAGCCCCATGCCTGGGCCCCAGTGCCCCATGGGTGGGAGTGGGGTGGCATTTTTTGCCTATGCTGCACAGAGAGTTTCCAAATTCCTCCGAGCGTCCAGGGCTAGCCTTCTCGGAAACAAGGTGTAAGCACAGGGTAGGCTTCCCGCGGCCTCGAGAAACCCAGAGCCTGGCCAGGCCCTTTCCTCGCTGCCCACCCTCTACTGCCCCCATTCCCTGGCCTACTTGGGCATTGAGCTGTTGTTAAGGAGGGGACTAGGGGCTGGGGCTGGGTAGTGAGGGGTGGAGAGGTGGCCGCTCAGGACAGGCGGGAGGGAGCAAGTCCCTGGGCCTGGCTGGGGTGGCTAGTATCCATCCCACCTGGGCTTTGCCATTACGTGCCCACCAACCCTTCCTTGGCATGGGCAGTCCCAGAAG